CCCCAAAACCCCAAAACCCCAAAACCCCAAAACCCCAAAACCCCTTGGCAAAAACTCTGACTTGGAAATAATAAATCTTTTGTGAAAATGGAGGATGAAGGAGAGTTCCCAGTTAATTTTAATGTAATTGATGAATATTTCAAGGAGAAGTTCACAGATTACTTTAACAGATTCGATCAAGGATTTATATTGATGGTAGATCCTGAGTTATATAACTTATTGCCAATCGATAAAGATGTAAAACCTAAAATTAAGAGGTACTTTGTACTTGATGAAGGAGTTGAAGATATACTGACAGATCAGCTTGAACCAACCCTCTCTAAAGAAGAGATCAACAGAATGGAGAATACTTCTCAGCTAGGTACTGTAATTTTTATCCTCAAGCCTAAGAAGGCGATTATTGAGAAAGCATATATGGTCAGGAAGGTGGTTGAAAGGAGTGGAATCACAGATTGTAATTATCTGTTTGTGCCTAGAGGGCCAAAGTACCTATCCCAGTCTTACCTAATCAGTAACCCTGAAAAGATCACCTTTATTAACATGAATATTGTTCCATTCGAGAGAGATGTGCTTAGTCTTGAAATCAACGATTCTTTCTTCAATAGTATCCAACAAGAAGATTTGGAGTATATCCAGCAATCATATGAAGCTATCTCCAGACTAGAAAAGGTATATGGAACAATCAAGTATAAGTTCGCTTGTGGGCCAAATGCAGTGAATGTTCTGAACAAATTACTTTCTGTGAGCTCTGAACTTACAGTCCCATTCCAAATCTCTGACTCCTCCGTCTATGATGGCTATGACTCTACTATGAAGGGAGGAGAGATAGATGGACTCATTTTGATGGATAGAAGAGCTGACTTAATCACTCCTTTCTGCATCCAGCAGACATATGAAGGCATGCTTGACGAGCATTTTGGCATTAACGCCACTATGCTTAGAACAAAGAGCTCTATTATTAGAGGAAGTGACGAAGAGGAGAAGAAAGCTGCTTCTGAGGGAAGTCTACCTAAATTTGAAGTAATGACCTTGAAATCTGACCATGATTTGATTCTTGATGAGATCAGAGACCTCCATTTTGTTGCACTCGAGAGCAAATTCTCCCAAAGAGTTATTGACATTGACAGGATTATCAAGGAAAAGGACAACCCCAAAAATGTAGATGATTTGGAAAAATATATTGAGAAGCTTAAGAATATGAAAATCGTCAAAGTGAAGGATAAACTGACTTTTCATATTAATCTGGCTCACCATATAAACTCAGAGATTAATAATTTCGACTACTCAGACTGACTTGGGCTCGAACAGAAGATCATTTATGGTGAGAATTCTAAGGAGATGATCGAGTCGTTGGAGCTGCTCATGGCTAAAGGGGCTGATAGAGACAGCATTCTCAGACTTTTCGCTCTTATCTCGATCACTCAGGGAGGTATTAAGGAAAAGGTATACCAGGAGCTCTTCAAACAGTACATTGATTGTTATGGCTTCGAAGAAATGAACACTCTTCTTAATATGGAAGAGATGTTGCTCTTTATGAAAAAGCAAACTAGGTATAAATATGATTGGAATAGAATTATGAGAGAGTTCTTGATTATTAATGAGGAAACACAGTTGAAGAATCCTATTGATTACAGTTATGTATACAATGGCTATTCTCCCCTCAGCGTGAAAGTGATAGACTACTGTATGAGCGAGAAAGGTTTCTACAACATGGATACTAAGCTGAAGTATGTAACAAATAAAGTAAAATATCCTCATAATGAGAAAGAATTATTTGACAGGAAGGGTCCAGCTTCAAGTGGAGGAAGGAAAAAGGTGATCTTGGTGTTTTACATTGGAGGCATTACTTACTCAGAGATCTCTGCTATTAGGTTCCTCAACAAGTTACATACTGATAAGGTCTTTGTGGTTGCTACCACCCAAATTATCAACTTTAAGAAATGTATTGAGCAAGTGCGAACTCATATATAAAAATTCAACTTTGAGTTACCAAGAGGGGTTTTGGGGTTTTGGGGTTTTGGGGTTTTGGGG